ACCAGTAAACTAAAATACTGGGCCATGCGCCATTCCAAATTTGTCTTTCAGCCACGGGATTCCACCGTCTGACCAGGAATAAACACACACACACACATCCAGGCGTCTTCCCTTCTCTATACTGTGTGTGAGAGAGAGTTGGGTACCACTTTAGCAATGCAGGGATGTCTGGGTGAGGAAGGAGGCTGATTCTCAGTCGCTGATGTAAGCAGACTGGCAGAGTTGAGTGACAATGAGCCCACGTGCAGCTCTCTTTATGGAGCCACCTGATAATCCCATCTGTTACTTATAGCATTTATTCCAAATGTTACTGCTGTCTGTGGGTTCACTGAGCACCACAGACTCTGCTGAACTTTCAATGACCCTTACAGTACATTCCAGATGGCCAGGAAATGTGTTGAATTTCTTTGTTTGCTGCAGAGGAAAGCAGAAATTCTGTCTCCCAAATGCTGCCAGAATGCACCATCAAAACCTCACTGTGCAGCAAAAGAGGTTGAGAAACAGATGGTATGACTGTAAAGATGTACTAACAGTTTTCTTTTGAATACCCTCAGCTAAAGGCAGGATGTATTTGTTTTTTTTAGCGCTTTAGTTCTACAATAAGAGCTGAAACTGTTATATAGACAAGTCAGATGCAGTTTCCACTCCTGGTTTCGCTGTCAAAGTAACAGACAGTGGAGAAACTTGCATACACATCATTTCTGTGCTACAGTGTGTTTGAACATTATTGAAGATAACACCCAGGTAGCTGAGCATGGAAAGCGAGACAGATGAGGAGTCTCTTTGTTCATTTTCCTGCTCATTCTCTGATACAAAGGCCATGAGTTGGGAACAGCAGCACACATGCACACACAAATTGTCTCAAGTCAGTTGTGTGTCACTGTGGCATCATTAGTTGTTTTTTTTTTCCTGTGTTCTTGTCTTATTGATGTGCTTTAAATATTTATTAGGTCACTTCTGCAGCAGCAGCATCCTCTGAAGCAACAAACAACACCAAGATATTTTTGAATGTGCCCATGAATAACAATGAGGAGGAATGGGACAAATCTACGTAATATGTGTTATATAGGGCAGCTTTTCTCTTTTTCTGTCAGCATGCTTAGCTTCATGTCTCAAGGAGCTTTGCAGCCACTTACTGTGCACAAGAGGGGTTTATATGTTTCTGTGGTCCCTGTTCTGCTAGTAGTTCAACTTTGTCAGTGTTAAATTGAAAGTTTATTCTCTGCCTGCAAGTTGTTGACTGGATTTTTTTTTGCTTTTAGTTGCTGTGGTTTTCTTTCTTAATTTTTAAAAGTATTTCTGTGTGATATTTTTAAATCAGATTAATCAACAGTGGAATTAATTGCAAGCTGCAGCCTAAGTTTTTTTTATGTTTCAATACAAAATTGTTTAGTCTTAAGAAAACAGTGAACTCACTAACATCACCAAATCAGTTTCGTCATCTCACCCAACAAAATCCATAGATGTTCATTTGCAACTATATCAAAATGAGAAAAGCAGTGAATACTGTCACGCTGAGAAACAGGAAACAGTGAATTAACAAGTAACTGATTTTCAAAATACACTGTCTCATCAGACATTGCTGTTTTTGAACGGCCTTTATTCTTCACATTGATCACAATGATCACATTCATATGGACGGCAAAGTAAGAATTTCATTCTACAGGAGACATATGTACAGGAAATATGCACAGTTAGGAAACGTGTTTCCTAAATTGAATATTTAGTTATGAAACATGTTTCCTAACTGTGCAAATAAACACTTTGACCTTTGCCCAGATGGATGAGGATGCAGCCTCACTCTCAGTGGTCACAGTGCTCCTTGATGCAACACACAGTCACATTTGTGAAATACCCCATCTTGTGGTGCTAGTTAAAACTGCACTAAAAAGAAAATGCACTAGGATAACAGTGTGTCTCCCTAACATGGTTTTTACAGTTTCTGGACACTTATGGAGTTCTGTGGCACAGAAGACAAAGATTAGGTATTGATACAACCAACTGTGAGTAGAATGCATTCATGAGATCAACTAAAGCAGGCTAGACTTAAACTAGATAGACTAGAAAGTAGATAAAGCCAAATGATTAAAACTAGCTAAAAAGATGTAACTGACAACCACAAAGCTTCTGAGAAGAGACTAAAATAACATGAAGTAAAGTGAGTGTGTCCAGTGTGCTGTGTGAAGAAGAGACCCGACTACATGTCAGAACTATTTGCCATGGAAACCGCAGATTATCTGATTAATTAATGAACCTTTTACTGTGTCACCAGCTACTGGTGTTAATCACTCATGCACTGTTTGGCCTGCAGCTAACACACACACACTACTACCTCAAACCATTTGTGTATGTGTGTGTTTGTACAAGTGTGTGTGTGTGTGTGTGTGTCTTGACTCAAAAGGAGCTGTGTCACATTTATGGGGTGTGTTTTCATCTGCCCGTTCATTGCATAGTCAAACATTCATTCCTCATTTTGTTGCAAGTGCCAATATGTAAATTAAAATTTTATTAAAACATTGGTTTAAATGTACTTGTCCTGAAACGTTTGAAAATATTTCATAATACAGCTTTCAGTATTGTAGTATTACTGTACCCACAATAAAACATCAAGGACATGTTCAAGTGTTCATTCAGGTAGCACATGCAAAAAAGATGCTACCTTTAAAACACTCAGGCTTTGTCAAAAAAAAAAGAGACTAAAGACAATGGTTAATTTATCCATCAGTTCGAAATCACCTTGAACTTTTATTTAATTCACAAACATTTCTGGAGGATTTTAGGATAACTGTATGATTTATTTTAGAAACATAAACACTGTGGTGCACCCCCTCCTTATGCCTCTCTTTCACTTCTCACATATGGATCCTGTAAAATTTCTGTGGTCCAGACCAGACGCATGCGCATTGGCGACGCCTAGTAGCGTGCATAGTACTGTTATTATTGTGAATGGGGTGGGTGGTGGGGGTAGAAGTGGAGGTGTGGTAGGAGGAGAGGGAGGAAGAGGAGGAGGAGGAGGAGGAGGAGGAGAAGGGGGGAGGTATTTTGGGTGTACAGTCATAAGAGCGACTCGACGGAGCCAGGAAGTAGACTGTTGATGCCTTCAAGTACTTTGAAAAATGTCGTAATTTGGAATCTTTACCGCGTTTTGAAGATTCATCAACAATTGAGAATAAAATGTATTATTTGTTTTCTATTAATGCTTATATCTTGTATGTGGATGCATGCTAATTATTGTTTGTATCACTTCTCATTTTATTTAGTTTAATGTTTAGCTATAGGTCTTAACGTTCTTATAGCTGCTGCACCAAGCATTGCTTATATCTTTGTTGTGCTGAATCATGCCGTAAGAGTCTTAACTTTTCACTTATAGGCTACATGGATAATATAAAAATATAAAGTAGTCTGAACGTCAGACAGACATGTCCTTTTCTAAAACCAGAGTAGTCTACAAATAATGTCTGCATCATAAAATTCATGACTTTAATTAAAGCTGTCAAATTACAGGCTATACTTAGCCCAATATTTGTGCTTAATATTGTGTTTTATTGGTGTCCCAAAACTCTTTGAATACACGAAGGCCTACGAGGAGCACAAGAAAGTTGCAGGTAGACTAAAAAGTTACACAGAGAGAGCTCGTTTGTTGGCACTGGCTTGAAATCACACGTTCACCAGGACAGATAGAGAGAGGGAGACTGACATAGTGAGGAGGGAGAGAGAGAAAGTGAGGAAGAGAGGGAGCGAGAGAGAGAGAGAGAGAGAGAGACTCGCGGTCAAATTGAGCTTTATCTATAGCGGTGGGTCACTTTATAAGAGCCATTTGGAGCCAGAGACGCCCGGAGCGCGCAGGAGCCGTAGTCATTGACAAATCATAATAAGAGCAGCAGTCATTGCCACAGAGCACATTGCTCCACACAGGGAAGAAAAAACACGCTCAGACACGGAAGAGAAGTGAGTGAGAGGGAGGCTGAGTGAGGCACGGACGGCAAGACACACAGTTGAACTTTTACTGTGTGCGGGATCATTCAAATAAAAAAGGCTCAAAAGTGAAACTCAAGAGGCCGGAAAAGTGTTGGAGAACATGCCGCGGGTAGTCCCTGACCAGAGGAGCAAGTTTGAGAATGAGGAGTTTTTCCGCAAGTTGAGCAGGGAGTGTGAGGTGAGTGTGAGTCTGTTGCTGCACTGGGTCCATTCTGTTAGACGGCGGAAATAGAGGCAGGGGCTCTTGAGAGGGTGAGAGCATGCTGGGTCGAAGTAGTCATTCATTTTTCTATCTTCAATATTGGAGAACATGTACAGTTGAATCAGATCCTCAGAAGAGTAAAAGACTGGGAGACTAAGTTGTCTTCATTGTATTTCTGTTCATGTGAATTTGAGAGAAATCCATTTTACCTGTGCCAATGAAGTCCTTGTTTTATACTTTGCCCTGTTATTTTTGTTCATTTACTGAGCCTGTGAATCTTACAGTTAATATTCTCTTATTACTTTTCCCCTATTTCAATGGATGTTGTAGAGTTTCTGATGAAGAACAGAGACAAGGAATAATGCCTTCTGCATGAAATCAAAATTCCTGTGGTTCACCTTTAAATTGCAGCCTTCTGGTGCAAATGAGCGTCACCACTCACTGTCCTGTTTCTATAGTGTTTTCTGCTCTAAATCAATCACACAATGTAATCAGAGTACATTATTACATACGTGAATAGCCAGTGGAAGTGTTATTTAAAGTCCATTTTGTTTTTGCTGTAGATTAAATATACTGGGTTCAGAGACAGGCCGCATGAGGAGAGACAAGCCCGCTTCCAGAACGCCTGCAGGGATGGACGGTCAGAAGTAGTAAGTACAAGACTAAATACATTCCCTTATTATTGTAAAACAAAAGGGAATGTGGCGATAATTTTTTATTATTCTGTGACACAAAGAGAAAGTGTCAGTGTTTATGTGTTTGTGGGGATGTGAAGCTCTTGCATTTTTCAGATGCACACTGAGACAGACATGATAAAAAGACAGACCACATGTCCTCTCTAGATTTTTATGAAGCAGATGTTTGGTTCAATTAAACAGCACACTGAAAGAATCATATGAAAGAAACTTTAAAACCCTCTGCAGCAGCCAGCGTTCATCGCAGTGCCATCAGCTCACTCTGCGCAGCAGTTCACTGTAGAGACACACACCCATCTTGCGTGTGCCAGTGTTTTGATGCGTTTCTGCACCAGGAAGCAGACATGTTATCAGGCATGCAGACCTAGCAGGCTTAACTTCACTCACAGACTCATGAATTCTTCCCTTTATATTCTGCAGCTGCAGTCATCTTTGTCTCAGCATGAACCCACACATTTGAACATGCAGGCACTTTATGGTCACAGGCAGGGCTGTAATTTGGGGCCTAATTGGTCACCTAAAGTAAATATCACCTATCATATCTGATCTTACTGTGTATACTGTAGTGGAAACATGGAGTGGATATACACAAAGGGAGCAGCAGAAAATAAACATCTGTATAATGATGAATCATCCAAGCAGCGCTGCTGTAAATACCATCCTCAGAATGTTTCATTTCTGTTTAAAGATGGAACAATACATTTTTAGTAGATAAATCTGCAGCTATTTTGATAATAGTTTCATTGTTAATGTAATTTTCTCCAGCATTCCCTGCTTTTCTGTCTTGTGTGGTGAATATCTGGGTTAAGCTGTGGTTGAACTACACTAACTTAAAGACTTGGGTGTAGGATGCATCTTTTTCACTTGTTTCTGACATTTTATTGACTAAAGAATTGAAAAAAGAACTGACAAAGTAATTGATAATCCAAATAATCATGTAATTGTTATTTTATTTTTATTGCTTATTCAGGTGTAGTTGCAGTGTTGTGTTGAACTGCAGTTAACCAAGTGTTTGTCTTCATTTTCTTACTCGAGGTAGCATGTTAATGGATAGTTGTTGCAGTCAGAGATCATTTGTGGCAACAGTGTCACAGCTGATAAGTGTAAGTTGGCCGAATGTGTCTCCTTCCATTCCCAAACCACACTCCTCTCCAGCCACGTCTTCAATATATACCCAGTTTTGAGATGCCTCTCAAAAGCATGGGCACACACTTACTGAACTCCTTTGTCTTATGAACAGATCACAATGTAAAGTGTCCTGCATTTGTATAGACCTTCACACTGTTACTGAAGTATGTAAATGTTTTCAGCTAATTTTATTTAAAGGTGCATTTACTAAGATTTTACACACTGTCTGATAAATCAAATAAAATGAGACAGAATGTGAAGTCCCTCCTGTCTCTGTGTGTCCCTCCTGGAGCTCACGCTGTCAGTGTGGTCTGAGTTTCTCTAGACCCTAATGGCTACAAAGGGATTAGGTGGAGTAGCTTTAAAAGTAAAAGTGCCCACTCTTTATGCAAAATGTTCTCTGTCATAGCTGTATTTTTATACTATTGGATTCTTAATACTCATGCACATTTATGTTGGGTGGTTTAACAGTGCATCATATTTTATATGCTCATTACACTGTAGGTTTTTAAAAGCAACCATATACAACGAGACAAATGAGTAAAAAGTACACTATTTCCTTCTGAACTATAGTGAGTAGAAATATATACCAGAAAATGAAAATATTCAACTAACACTAAACTAAATGTCAGAATTACACTTAAGCACAGTACATACTGTTGTTAGACTCCACCACTGCTGAAAAGTAGCATTTGGACGTCAGAGTAATAACACATCATGTTTATTGGCTGCTGAGAAGTTTTCTTCAAACATACAACTCAACTCGTTTGACCTTAGTTTCTTCTTTCAAACACTGCTGCATGTAGCATTTGTGATGGGCAGTTTATAACTTTAAAGAAAGTCAGGACGTGTGCATGTTTTCACACTTAACTTGTGAAGTCTGTTTTAAACGTCCTACATCACGTCGTCAACAGAAGGTGAAATCAGATGAAAAAGCCGTCAGGCTTCTGGCACCAAACCAGGGCAGCTTTTGCAGTCTGTCATCCTTGAGGTGTTTTTCACAAACATGCTGTCATCATCATGGCTGGAGTGAGGGGGTGGCATCTAGTTTTACCATCTTTTAGTGGGACATGATGTGTCCGCCTGTCTTCACTGTATTTATAAGCCTCCCCTGCTGTGAGAATTGATGACCATGGTTTTAACGGTTTGACAGTAGCTGTGACATCATGTTGCTGATTTATCTGTTGGTCAGGCGCAGCTCAACACCTCCTGCTATTTTCACGGTCAGTGTGAAGAACTACCGGACACAATCAGGCTATCGAGGATCGTGTTTTATAGATGAGATGAGATCTTTAAACATGTACTACCTTACTTTGTATTGAAAGAATTTTCATGGCTGAATTCCAGACAGCAACTAAAATAATGTCTAATAATCTAACTTCCTCAAAAAAGTATCAACTGGTATTTTGTTAAACATAGTATTTGTTCAGTGTTTTACATTTTAAATGAATAAAAGATGTGTAACTGCATGGTGTAACAGATAATGATAAAGATAGCTACTGTATATTAAACTATTAGAAAATGAACATAAGATATGTAAAATAAAATTACATGCCCCTTTTCTGCCCTATTTTTACAATAATGTAAAAATGCAAATAAAGCATCGGTGTATTTCTGGGAATTCCGACAAGTCACACACACGCGCAGTGACTGTTAAATGTTTAGGATTCTTCTGATAAATGCGACAATAGTTCTAAGTAGATTATCTTCAGCTCAGCTCATTAGAGATGAGTCTCTTTCTAAACTGCTATTGATTTGCTTGCTGCCTGGTCTGTCTCTCTCTCTTCCCACTCTTCTCCCATCTCTCTCTTTCTGTCCCCTCACCTCCTTTCATTTCACTTCCTTTGCTCTTTTGGCCTGAGTTTCTTGTCTTTACCACTGTTATCCAGTTTCCCTTTTTTCTTTTCCTCCTTTGTCTCAGTTTTCCTCCATCTCTTCCCTCGCTCTGCCCGTCCCCTTCCCTCGTTTTTTTCCAGCAGTAGTAGGCAGCAAATTAGTATCAGATGGTTGTAATCCAATACTTGAGATGCAGCAGAAATGATGACTTGATGTTCTTTGAGGTATCATTTCTGTATTTGTGTCTGTGTGTGTGTGAGAGAGACATTTTTTATTTTTGTATGTCCATGTACACCGTTTTCAGCTTTCTCTTCCCTCCATTTCTTTCCTCTGTCCTTCTGCTCTTTCATTCAGGGTTTCTCTCTTGTTCTTTCTGATGAGGGACAGATTTGACAGGGTGCATAATTCATATGCTTCCAGCTCAGTCGCAGCCCTAATGACCTTAGTATCGATCTGCCTTAGCAAACATATCACACACACCCACAAATACAACAGACACACACACACACACACAAACACAGATAGGCATTAAAACAGACATTTTCTAACTTGATTTATCTGCCGATCGGTAATTCATTGCTTTCTGACTGCAACAGAGAAATGCATTTTATTGATTTTCATTTTATCTATGTTTCTCTGTGCATGCATATGTGTGTGTGTGTGTGTGTGTGTGTGTGTGTGTGTGTTTATCTTAAGAGCAATTTCTCCCATTAGAGCAAGCCATTTTATGGAAATCAAAAAAATGTGGAAAGCTACAGTATGATGTGATTACACAGTATGTTTGTGAGGAGAGCAGGCCAGCGGTTCACTTTGGGCTTTTGTTCTGAGAGGAGAGCGGTTACACCAAGAAGAAATACAGAGAGGTGATGGGTGGGCTGGTGGGTTGAGGAAATGATAAAAAAACAAATCTGATGCAGTCTATCAAATAAAGCATTTAAACTTATCCAAAAATTCTGTTGTTTAAGATATGCAAAAACTCTCTGGAAACATTTTTATGAAACCATGATATTAAAATCAGCATTTCATAATCTTGCAGAGGAACATCCTCAAATCTGCATTATTGTTAGTTAGGGCCACTCTTAAAATGTACTTTCAGAAATCAGTGAGAAACAGATTAATTGGTTTGTTGATCAACAAATTATCTTATCTCCATCTATTTAGCTAATTAACAGATGCCAAATAATCTTCTCCACTGTGAGGATTTGCTGCTTTTCTTAGTACTGTTAATTGAAGAAGTATATGTGTCGGACTGTTGGTCCGTTAGAAATGTCACTTTGGGAAATTGATGGAAATTTGTTGCTGTTTTTTAACAGTTTTTTAGACTAAACAATTAATTCATCCTCAGTGATGTGTTTTGCAGTTATGCAGCTTATCCTTTTTAGCTCCTCTCTGCCTGGTAAGAAGCCCTGTCCTTACACAGTGTGAAGTCACTGATACATTTGTACTCCCTTGGCCTAAGTTCGAATAGTTGAGTGACGTCTCTTGAGGGATTTTCTCAGACTTGTCAAAGTTCCTCTACAATCACAGAAAAACATGTAATAGTTTTTACAGGCTGTTTAACCTTATCCTTAACAGTAAAGTGACGTGTAAAATCAGTGCAGTGTCGATCTAATACTGAATAAAGTGGAGTGTGAAAGGGTTACTGGTAGAACTGACTCAAGAAATCACACCCTGTTTTGCAGCTTTATATGGTACTTGTCCAGCATGAAACACAAAGAGCTGGAATAAATGAATGGCTGGTGAGCAGCTATAGACCCAGATGTCATTTTCAGAGGTTGGTGGAGACCAAACAGGAACAAACATTTGAGTGAATTTCAGACTTTAGTCTATCTCATGGCCAGAGTAAGATGGTCATGTTGCTCTACATGTGCAGCTAATATATTAGCCAAAACCATTTTATTAATATGCAGCTCCCTTTTTTTTTCTTGAAGATCATCGTTCACAACTGATTTAATGTTCCCTCTCTCTTTCTCTTCCCAGGCCTTTGTCGCTACAGGTACCAACCTTTCTCTCCAGTTCTTTCCAGCCAATCTGCATGGAGATCAGAGGCAGGTTCCTACAAGGGAGTATGTTGACTTTGAGAGAGAGACAGGAAAGGTAGGACAAAAGAAAGATATCCACCTGCCTCCTCACACACACACACACACACACACACACACATTTTGCTCTGTTGCTTTTCAGCTGTTGTTGGTTATATGGATTATACTGTAAGGTCTAAGTTGTAGGAGCCAGACTGGCAACATTGAAAACTAAATCCGTTTTCTGATAAATTGTGTTCACAATGCCCTGTCTGCCATCCATACAACTGCTGACTAAATCTCTTAATTCAACATCAGTTGGATTCAGAAAACCTCTTTTTCTTTATTTCATGCTTGAATCGTGTGTTTTTCATCCTGCGTCACTGTCACACATGACAATGTGAAACTTTTACAGAAAAAATGCCATTTGCAGAAACGCGCACCTCTGTCTGCTTTTCCTACTGTATTTCTGTTCTTCTTAATTTCATGAAATGAAAATTGCATTCTCGAAACTAACAGCAAACCAAAAACAAAATTGAATTTTTGACTACAAATGGTGTGTTTTCTTTTCCTAAACATGTAGCTGGGTTTACAGTGCGTGTACAGTATGCGCACGTCTAAGACATACATTGTTTTTTCAAGTCGACCTGACTGAATACTGACGATTCTGGGTGTCAGGTTGAGCACAGATCCACAAAGACAAATGAAAGGGATCAGTTTATTAGCACCCTGTTGTGCAAAACTGAAGCTTTAAACAAGTGTATGCTGGGAAATGATCACTCCTGCAGTGTTTTTACAACACTGCCCGCTGTCTCGCACCATCCGCCGTACATGCTGCACAGTGTGGTTGCCCTGGTCACAGAGGTGAAATCCCTGCTGAGCTTTTTGTCACACAACAGTAAGTGGATGAGAAACTGTGCCTGCTTCATAAAGCCCCTGCCCATTTAAGATCAAATTCAAAGTTAAAGAACTTTAACAGCTCCAAAGATGTTTGTTTGTTTGCTGCTGTTGCCAAGGTGATATCCACTGTACAGTACAGCAGTGCTGCTGCTGTGTTTACGTGTATGTTAATTGTCTCCCCTGGTGCTAAACCTGGACTCCTGTGTGTGTGTGTGTGTGTGTGTGTGTTTGACTTTGTGTCAGAAGGTCCTCCACGGACACTAGCCAGCTGAAATGAATGCCGACTGGCGGCTCATTAAAAATGCATTCTGGGGAATCGATGGACCTCCGTGCCCTGAGGCTGACAGACTAATCTCACACAGTTAATTATTTAACACAAGTGCCCAGATGGCTGGGAAGAACACACAACTGTGTGTGTGTGCTTTTGTTGATGGCTGCTGGGTATTTTGCACAAGTTTCTGATGGGGCGTGTGTGTGCATGTGTAGCCTTGTTTATATATACTTTTGGGGAAGAAACTGTGAGAGTGCACCCCCAACTAATTTGTTAAACTATATAAAGATGCTGTGGTGTAAGGTTAAAGGAAGTGTTGACTGTGGTTAAGCTTAGGGTGGGCATTAAGGTTAGTCAAGTAGCAGTTCTGTTTATGGTTAGGACAAGTGTGCTGGAAATCTATGAAGTCTATGTGCGGACCCTGTAAGTGACAATTGCAAGTGTGTGTGTGTGTGTGTGTGTGTGTGTGTATGTGTGTGTGCGTGTGTGTGTAAGATAATATCCTTTTCTTTGTCACCTCAGTGGTGCTCACAGATCTATGAAGTTTTAATGAGTCCAAGAGCTGTCAACGTACGGCAGTTTCACAGTTGTTCTGTATAACTGAAACCAAGCACACACACATACTCAGACACAGCCACACACACACATCTGAGGATCCAAATAAACCTGCTGACAGTCTGCTTATTTCATCCATATTCATCTTTTGAACTAAAAAAGTTATTCTCTAGCAGCTGAGTAACTCAGAATATGTGACTCTAGCTTACTGAAATACTCTTTTCATGCAGCGCCAACAAAAACACAAGTATAAGGTTTCAGTCTGTACTTTTATGCAGTATTCCTTTATATTTGACTTGTATAAAAAGACAGAATATGGTTTCCTGAGTGTTCTGTAAAAAGAAACATTGTTTGGAAGAAAATGGACAATTTTACTCAACTCCAATTCAGAGCCTTTAATTGTGAACTGCGTGTACAGTTTCTGCAGTGTTGCTCTAGCATTGTTTCATACACACCCCAAAGTTAACACACACCACCTCCCGATCCCTCCGGACCTCCCTGTAGAATACAACTGTCAAGGCCAATGCAGAGATCTTGTGTACGTTGCAACTTCTTCTCTTAATTACTGTCACAGCTAAACCACACACAGACACACACACACACACACACACAAATGTCTGATGTATGGGGAGAGTTATCTCTTGCAATAAACAGTATATTGCAGATTGTTATTGCTCACAAAATATTAAGTAGAATCTAGAACTGTTGAACTTTTTTCTCATGTATTGCTTTTCTGCCTACACAACATGAAACATTAATGGTTAAAGGTAGCACTGGACATAAATGTGAATAAAGAGGCAAATATTCTAAAAACCTCTTCAGCATTTAGTCAGGGTAGACAGGGAAAAAAGTTCATTGTAGACATATAGAATAGGCTGAGGCAGTGCCTCAAGAACTACGGTTCAGACTGCAGAGCCAGGTTACTGTCTTTGCCTCTCTTGTCTGTATTTTGTATTACTTGATTTTAGGTTTAAGGTTAGAATTTAGGATTAGGTTAGGGTTAAGGTAAAGGGCTAGGAATTTCATTATGACGACAAGCATCCTCACAAAGATAGCTGTACAAACAACAGTGCATGTGTTTGAGAAACAGATTTTAAAAAAAGAGTAGAAGCATAGGCTCTTGTCGTTGATTGGTTGGTTAATAGGAGCCAGCTGTGGGTGAAGTTAATTTTAGCATTAGCAGCTAACTTGCTAGCTAGCGTGGCCTAGACATGACTTACATCAGTAGATGGCTTAGCAGCAGCCTTAGCAGCATTATGCAGCTGTAGAGCATTGTTTTAGTGTTTTGTAGCTGAATTTACTGCATATAACTGTTCCCACAGTAACAAAAGGTGGCAAGCCCTGCATTTGTTTTCAAAGTCTCTCCTCTTGGTAGGTGTGTGACTAATGTGTTACACGTTAAAAGTCAGGTATGTGTCTGATAACCAGACTGGCAGAATTTAGGCCATTGTTGGTAAAAAAAAATTATATTTGATAGAACTATTCAAAATCAAGACAGTGTTTTTATGGCTGCAGCCTTTAGTCAAATGGAAATATTCAACCTCTCGTGTATCGTTTTAATTCAACTTGGAATATTTAAGGTTGAAGTTGTGGCGATCTAATAACATATATGATTCATTTTTAAAAATTGAAAGTGAATAATAAGTCAATATATAATGTTTAAAGTTACTTATAGTCAGCCTATATTGTTTACTTGCCTTTTGCTATTGCCATACATAAGGATATGTACATACACATTGAGAGCCGCTGTACCAGAGTCAAATTCCTCATGTGTCCAACACACCTGGCCAATAAAGCTGATTCAGATTCAGATTCAGTGATTTTACATTCGCTGCATCCACACAATGTAATTGGCTGACCGTAAAATAAAACCAAGCAGATGGACATAACCAACCGCTCACATGATCATACTGAATATAATGAAGCATATGTATTTTTGTGTATTAAGCCAATGAGTGCCTAAACTGATTTACAGATGAGTCTAAAACTGTGAACAGGACAGGATACATGTGCATGTACCAACATTCAACAATGCACATTACAGTGATCTTTAAAGGATAGAAGATTGTTCCCATTTTATACTTTTAAGAATTATAACTATTAGTGAAGCATTTTCATAAGTGAACTTGTTATGATATTTTCTGAAATTGTTACTTGGTTTTAAACATAGGACACTCCTCTTGTTGGTAAAAGGGTTTCAATTCCCTGGTTGATTAATTCAGTGATCAGTCACCAATTTGAATTTTTTCATATTGTCAAGGCATTCCTTCCCTTCATTTATTCAAGAGTTTTCTTTGCACTTCTTGTGCCCTTTGGTAAAACAGATTCCAGCCTTTCCTTCTTCCTGTCCGACACACGTTCCTTTAAGTTTGCCTAATCACCTTCAGTGTGTGTGTGTGTGTGTGTGTGTTTGTGTGAATGCAACACGTGCAAAACATTTTATTTCCTTCACATTTTCACAAGGAATGCTGGACTTTAGAATAGGTGTTGCTGTCTTGCTTTTCCAGCCTGGGTGGAACCCTGAAGTTTTAAAGACAACTATGATCAAAATAAGTTGGAAGTGTACTGCTGGTGAAACATTAAAGTGATTACGGTGACAGCAGTTACTCCTCATTTTCATTATGGTCCCATTACATTTTCACCAACATGCCAGGATGAAGAGGCTGAGTTTTCTTGCCACAATGTTTCTGGAGCATGAAAGCACATGGAACCGATGAAGAGTTGGTGTGGAAACTGGAAATTGGCTCCAGCACAGGCCGCTTGCTGGTGGAAAAAATCATATCTGAGGATGTAACTTTGGATGAAGCTGAAACCACAGAAATTACCCGTGTAAGATTCAGTGGCTATTTCTTTGTTGGTGTGTAACAGTGAGTGTGTTTGCACACTGCCCCTGCATGCTGATGAGATGTGGCGCCAGACTGATTGCTAAGCCTTACACACAGATATATGCATGTCTGCACACAAAAAAATGCAAACATATAAATAAGCAAAATTTAAAACAGAGAGAAGAAAGAGACAAAGAGAGATGGGTGGTTTTGGGGGGAGAAACTAAGCAGAGATGAGAGATATGAGAAGCATATAAGTACAGGCTGTCAGGGATGAGCCAGTGCAAACACCAAATCTAGGATGCAGAACACTTTCATTCCTTCTCAACCTTAGCTATTTCTTTGATATGTACAATGTTTTGCTGTAATAAGAGTGTTGTGAATCATGAGTTTTGTTTGAAAGACACTCTTGCCTATGAACAAGCAAACCTACTGAACACCAGCTTACTCAGCTATTTATACATATGGAGTTCACACACCTCAATGTTAATGTTAACCTGATGTAATAGATTTTGTTGTCAGGTCCGT